TACCCAGTTTCAGTGTTCAGTTTCAGTCGTGAGTATAATTGTCTATAATACGATAAATCATCAGATTCACATCAGATTCTTCGTTACCGAAATTATGAATTATGCTGATGAAAATCACTCCGTTCAACAGGTAAATGGAATTTTTTGAAGGTATGTCAGAGAGCTGAGCGATTTTATTTCACTACCAAATATTGTGCAGTTCGTTTCCTGTGTTGAGAAATAAAGCACATTGCTATAGAAATATCTGGAGTACCATTTTCAAACCACCTTTTTCCTCATGTTATCCCGGCACTCAAATGGTTTCTAACTACCGTGGAATACAAAAAATTCTCCTATCAGAAAAGTGTCGATGCTCTCCAAAAAAAGGCTCACTTTCAGAGAATCAATCAAGTTTCAGAAGGTATGTTATATGGCTGTACGATTTCATCATACCACTAAATGCCATATGATCTCTAAAATGCTATATTATCATGGAGATAATAACTTGACACATCTTCAATATCACCGGATAAAGCACTGTTAGTCACAAGGAATGTGTTCAAATCTATTTTCATCAATCTAACCAGGAGACCTAGAAAGTACAATCAAACTGCGTATATCTGTGAAAGCTTCATGACTGTTTCTTACTTGAATTGAATAGATCCATACAATAGGTTACTAGGGTATCAGAACAAGATCTGCTGCAAATTACTCAAGTTTTTCAACAATTTCACAAATTTTAGTCGAATACGATCTTGTCGCGTTTACCACGTTCTCGCTTCAACGATCCTTTCAAATCCCACCTTTCACTCCGTGATTTTTCAATTTCTCCGTTAAAAATGAAACATCTTCAGGCACATTATGCTTCAGTCATTATTGTTTCGTGTTCTTGATTCAGTATGTGAAGTGAGATGTGCGGCGCAAGACACGAAATACAACGACAAGAAATGTTTATTATAACATTAATAACATCTCATTAAGATATTACAATGAATCTGTTATAAATACTAGTGTTGTTGTTGTTGTGATGTACGTCGTATGGTGTTCGCTGTTCGCTGCTGTTGAATTACGGTTATGATGCCTCAATAATACACTCACAACACAGAATATCACCTTCATTTCGATTAGTCACTTCAAAAAATCGATAACAAAAGTATTTTTTCGTCGAAGATATCAAAAAGAACTGACGAAAGCAATCAGCGGATGTTATCACTAGGAGATAAACGCAAGAAAAGTTACCGGCACCGGCGAGAATTAGCTCTGGAAAGAATAGACATACGGAAAGAGCCAAACTAAACATATAGACAAACCAACACCACCTAAATATTTGCACATGGAGAAATATTGGTTACTAGGGAAGGTCAGCAAAGACTGACATTCATACGTGGACATCCACTAAATTGGGGGAATATAAGTTAAAAGATATTGACAAAAAATTTGGCAGATAGTGTTCAAAAATTTATTGAAGCAGAGATGTTACGATAACAGAAATACTCGTAAATTAAAATCAAATCAGCAATGAAAAAGGAATATGATACTGATTCAACTATTATAGACACATCACAAAACACTAATTGTGACAATTTCTCCGGTTCAGTTCGGCTTACAACTCCCAAACCATTTCGAATGCTCGCGTCAATCCGACGTCGTGTTGGTTGAAATAGAGTAGTCCGGCCAGAAGACACGCCGAGAACACGTATGCTCCAACACGTACGGCTGCAGCCAGTGTATCTCCTAGCACGAATGGACGACCGTAGTCCTGAAGTACGGATAAATTTGCTGGATCACTGACCACAAACATGACAAAATGACTGATTATAACGTAAGATTACTAGGGTATCAGGGTATCAGAATAGGCTCTGCTCCAAATTACCTAAGTGTTTCAACAATATCACGAATTTTAAGCGAATTTAAATCTTGTCACGTNGCATCAACGATCCCTTCAAATCCTACATAAAACTGGCGGAATCTACTCATTTTCAAGTCAAGTAACTCACATTTACAATGCCCCAGATACCCCAATGAACGTGAAGTGCCAACGCCAACGATAGAACCAAGTCCATTTCAGGTCCATGAACGAAATACGCTGCTGGTAGTAAGGGAACCATTGCGGCCGCAAAATAACGTTCTATTTTGAACATTGTCGCATGACTATGCAACGGCTTGAAGCCTTTCTGAGCACTGAAATATTCATTCTGACAGCTTAAAATGCAACAAAATGCTAACAAAACAACTGGAGTTTCACTCCTTTTAAATTTTTAAATGTTCACCGCTTCAGTACACTTACCCAGTTCCAAACTATAACGAAGGAAATATCGGAACGAACTGAAGAGTTACGACTGAAATTTACGACTACAGATGGAAATTTGTGAAAGTTTAAATATATTTCAGGTACTCACGCAACCGGATCGAATTGCGGTGGTGCTGAACCGGTGACTGCCGCCGATGTGGCTCCTGCACAACGTTGAATCAACGAAGTTCTCAGGATTCTGGCACTCAACGGAACCGAGCGTCGTAAAGCTGCCGAAAGCATCTGAAATATTTGATGCAATAATCTGAAGTATGAACAAATTTGTTGTGCTTGAAACAATATCGACAGATCGGTTGAGAATTCAACGTGAAGCACAGAAATTTCCAACATTTCATTCGAATTTTCTGGAGTATCCTTGTGATCCAGTTACAACCAACATTCAACCAACGAGCTTGGTTACATTTTAGTTCTACGAATGAGCGAAAAATGCTAATTCAGCATCATCAGAATCAGCACAGTATGCTGATATCTAAAAGAATCAGCAGCATGTAGCCACTTTTCGAACTCAACAGTCGGGGATACACAAAAATATGGCATATTCTGACTTAAGACTAGCGTCGACTTAAGACTAGCAAAACTAAGCATACGAAAACCATATGCTTAAGTAGATGAACGCGAAAACACACGAATAGCAAACAGCACAGGGGAACACTTAAACGATCGAAATGAATGAAAATGTAAAGCACACAGCAAAGACATTTCAAAACCGCACGTGTTATATAGAAAGCCGAATACTGATTCTACGTGCATTGTAGAGAATTTATTTGAATTCGACATTTCAAAAATACGGTAAACATATGGATAATATGCGAATTTTAGTGGGATTACCCCAGCTCTCGGCAATATTCTGACTTTGTTCCATGCTGATGGCAATAAATCCCGGAAGATAAGCAAATTCCCTCAGATATGCAAATCTGAAAATGCAAAAAACTCGATTTCAGGCTTATCACGAGCTCTGATAATGAACTTTACGCGTTAACATTTCGTTTACAGAAACGAATTTCAACTTGTCTAACATAAAGAAACGCAATAGCACAATATTAGTTATGTCAGGTGAGAATCCTTTATTGGGCAGGGAAACATTCTCAAATAGGAAATTTGAGGCAGATTTCTGAAAAAATTGGAAAATGTACGGCTCTTTGATCATTAATTATAAGGATGAGTCCGTGTCATCCATCCAATCGATCAAAGGATATTGAAAAAAGATACTGAAGTAAAAAAAGGACATCAAAGCATTTTCATGTAGATGTTATCAAACTTTTTTCCGTAAACCAATTACAGTTGTAACTCAGGCGTAAACATGAAACAATTCAAAAACCAATCAGGCGTGAACGTAAACCAGTTCGAGATATAATCGAATATGGTAACGGATTATCAGGAGTGGGAGATTTTCCAGAAATATGGCATTCAGACGATAGCCCATCATAAATCTAAATTCAATATTACTTCATTTCACTTCGAAATATTGCAGATACAATTTTGCAATCATTAGCAGTCAGTCATGTGAGACGAACCCAACCGCCCCAAAAAGTTGTCTCGAAATTTTCCAATAGCCATTCACACCTGGCTGTTTCAAGCATTTACAAGTTTGTGACCTCTCGAGACTCCATTCTCAGGATCAGTCCCATACGACATCGCATAAATGCAGATTTCTCGATGATTCAAAGCCGAACTCGAATCTCACGTCGTGAATCTGAAATATTTTCAAGAAATATCTCTTCAAGCACTCACTCNTTGCAAGCAATAAACGCCTTCACGTAAATGTTTCACATTTCGTCATTTTATTGTTTCATTCCATGAAGCTTCAATAAAAATACGACTGATCCTAGTAGGGATTAAATATCATAAATCCACGAGTGAATTGCTAATTGGTGATTAACGGCTATCACGCGTTATAATTAGTATGCGTTCTGTTCTCTGAGGATGTCATTAATATCCGAAAGACTTCATTCAAACGGAGCTGTTTTTCCTCCAAAAGCTTACCTTTGCTCTCACAATCAGTGTTCATTCAATTACTCATACTGTTCCACTGCTTCTTGATTAATGTGATCCGTTGCTCAGTTGATCATTCATTATATTGTATAGGTTCATTTCGATCCAATATCATTGACTGACTTCAGCAGATCTATTGAATTCAATACACTTTGATGACTGACTCTTCTTATTTTTGGCGTTTAAAATACGGGATATATGAACAGAGAATTTTAGGATTTGATTTATTTTGATCCGGTTCGATTTGTAATCGACTATAAGATGTGTCGTCGAGGTAGGCGGATGTTGGGACCGGGGTTTGTACGGGATCTGAACTTTTGAATTCCGATCCGATCCCGCGATTAAGGCTTTGAAAAATCTCGTGATTAGAAAATTTTATAAAGCAANTTTGAATTCCGATCCGATCCCGCGATTAAGGCTTTGAAAAATCTCGTGATTAGAAAATTTTATAAAGCAAGACATTTCACTGCATGATTTTGGTAATACACTTATCTCAAATCACGATGGCTGCTGTCGCGATTGTCGATTAATCGCGAAGAGGCAAAGAAAACGGAATAGCCAACCTAACAAATCATTCGAACAAATTAATTGCAATGCACACATCAACAAATCAAAATCCGCAAGCACATCATTCAACCAATCTCAAATCGAACACAAAACAGTATTTGTTTTGGCCGCAGCAAAGTTGCATCAAAACGTACATTACGAAATAAATTGCATGACAGACCATCTGCACTGCAGCATTTGCAACAAAGAGCTATCATACAAGCTCACAAGATGTAGTTATCCACCTTCATTCATTATCCATTCAAACCCTCTTTCTTTCATAACATTCGCTTTCTTTCACAACATTCCCTTCATCCACTCGTTCGGTTAATTGTTTGTATAATATCTTGTGATTATCAATTCAA